CCTTGGAAGGATAACTGAATCCCTCCAGTGGAATTATAAACCCCCGGGAAGGATATCTGAATCCCTCCAATGGAATTATAAACCCCTAGGAATGATAACTGAATCCCTCCAGTGGAATTATAACCCCCCCAGGAAGGACATCTGAATCCCTCCAGTGGAATGTAAATCACCTTGAGTAAAGTTTTGAATTGTAAAAAGCATTTTTTTAAACCCCTCCAGTGAAAAAAAATTCCCTCCGGTGGTCTCCAGTGGAGTCAAAATCTTACTACGAACTTCCGTGACTCGCCTAAGATAGGAATACAAAAGAAACACATATTAGGGCCTGAATGAGATCAAAATTACATTTATTAGTAATACTTTAGTGTGATCCTGTGCTATATGTTTAAAAAATTGAGGAATCATGAAATCTCCCCCTGAATAAGCCTTTTTTTGCTCCTAATAGGTTTCAGAGATTTTCTACAGGGTTCGGACACTTTTCCATATAGGGTTATGGAGACTTTTCCACAGGGTTCATGGCTGCTTGGCCTTCTTTACTTTATTCAATCTAGGTATAGGTAAAGCATCATTTACATTTAGAATACACTGTCCTATGTTTAGATTTGTAAAGACAAATCTAACATCCCTGAATAAATCTAACATTACTGAAAGTAATTGCAATATATACGCCCCCCTTTTGAAGGTCTAGGGGGCACTGCCCCACTTGCCCCCCTTGCATATGCCCTAGATTTGGTGTTTAAAAATGCACCAATTACCTGTATTAAAACTGTTTCCCCAAGTGCATTGTATGTTAATTGGCAGTAAGACTGAATCTACAGGAAAAAAAGGTAAGATTAAATTTCAGGATTACAATAAGTTTTAAAAGTTTTATACAAAAAAGTAAATTTTTATTAAAGTAAAGATTAAAACTTACCCTAGGTGGATGCTGATTAAGATATCCAATTATTCTTACAATGGGATCTTGTCTGTAAAACGATATATTTGTGGCATGTTGGTTCACCAAGGGGTTCTGTTGAATTATTAGTTCCATGTTTGTTATCTTTAATATTGTTCTGATTTTGCATATTTACTATGTAATGTTAGTAATCAGTTTCAAAGTTTGATAATAATGGTATGTTGTGAGTAAGAGGTAGAGAGGAGTTAGAACAGAAAAGTCAAAAAGTTATCGCAACGAGGCTCGAGTACGAATGAAAGGTCGGTACGGTACACAGAAGATCTGTACATATCTAATGTCACTGGCTAACTATCTATCCCTTGAGGACAGTTCTAGGACCAGAAGGCAGCGGACAGAAGCTAGTATCACTAGAATTGTAGAATTGTGTGACTACCTTATCCTGTTCCAGTACCCATTAGTGCTAGAAGTAGGAAGTGGGGTGGGGGGTCTGGTTTGTGCAGTGCAAGGAACTGCACTGGTAACGCCCAACTCATATGTATGCAATTTACTGTATATGTACTCTCTAGGTACAATCTTATCAAACAAAGTGCACCCACAACCAGTGTTAGAGACGGAATTCAATTGTGACAGTAAGTGCTGAAGAAATCATTGTTTTTTTTTTATTTAGTATCATTCCAATTTCCTGCTTTAACTGTAAATATTTTCTTGACTCCAAGCCACACTATTAAAATTTTTTTTTTCATCTTATTTTCAATGTCCTTAGTAAATGTCCTTAGCATACCCCTACCCTACCTTCTTCCATCACAAAACCCCCTCAGTAGCCTTTTTTCCCACACATTTGTAAAAGTTTTAAAAATGTTAGGTGACAAATAGTGATTTTAGACTTGGGGGTCTGAATCTATGTAAAGCCTGGGGGGAGCAACCCACGATCCCCCCTCCCCTAGAAAAAGGCTATGAATAATAGGTATAGGGTTGAAATGCATGTTCACAGTTCAATTTTTCAAGCCCATCTCATTACAAAAAATTAGACCAAGAACTTTAATAGTCTGGGTAATAACAAAAATGCATAAAAAATGGTATAAAATGCTAAAATATTTTTTTTAGTTTTAAACAAATATCAAAGTCTGACACATGTTTCTACATCTGTTTTTCAAGGGCTTTGTTGTTTTGAAAAAGTCAATATTGACAGGTGACGTAGTCCAGGCATGATACCCAATTAGCTAACTGCCTGAATGCCTAAGTTTACAAAACATTAAAATATTGTACACATAGCAGTAAGGATTACCCAACAATCAAAACACAGGTTTTTAACAATATTAACATGATGGAGAGCTGGTTGATAATTCACATTATTAATTCATGGACAATCCTTGTATTATACTTGTGGAAAATCTACTTTTCCCAATCTTGAAGATTCCTCCTGTGTACAGCAGGGGTAAAAAACGCGAAAATATTCTTTGAAAATTCTCGTCGTTATTTCACATGTTGTACACGTAGCAAAATAAACCAGTGCATATTCCTATCATGTTCAACTTGAGTAATGCAATGCCAGAATTTTATATTTTAATACGCGTAATGTATTTGAGATAATTCTATAGCTCAATTCTTGTCTTTTTTTCTTTTTTTCACATGTTGTGCTCATAGGAAAGATACCAGTGCAAGATCTGGCATATTCCCAACGTGTTCATCATGAGTAATGGAATGCCAGAATATCTAGATTTTAATTCTTGTAAATATCACAAGTAAAATATTTGAGATATCACGGGAAGAACTTCATGTTTTATTTTTAATATATTTGCAAAATTACATTTCACTTGGTGTCTCTGCTCATCTTTTTGAAACTAAAAGTTTATTGTAGTAGAATGAAATATTTTAACTGACATAGATTTTTTAGATTATAACAAGCATGAGCAGAGTATAGAAAAGTTTCAAATTGAATTTTGAATTGTATTTCTCAACAACCCCATTTTAGAATAAGGAGTATTCTTACAATTATGAACACAACAACAAAATTGAACATTTTTAAGTCTTGAAATATCACTTTGTGATAAGAAAAGTTTAAAGTTTACGTGTTCAAGATGTTTTATATAAACTAAATTTTTTAGTTTCTAAACATTTTGTAATTATTATATACTTTTACACTGTATATTTTATAATATATTCATATATCAGAAATCAATTATATATCCCCCACTTTCCCGGGGTTTTTTAAAAATGTAATTTAAGTAGATAAAATAATTTTCTCATGTAAAAATCCTGTGTTCATCTCTTGAAATAAACTCAAGTTTTACTGTGTAAAAACTCGGTCCTAGACCCATGATCAACTCGTCAACATTCACCTCGACAACACATGAAATATCCCGGGATATTGATGGGTCACTTGTGTAAAAAAAAAAACATATAATCTTATGTTCTTCATGGGTTTTTGTTTGTTGAGTATGAACCCCAGCACTCTAGAAACCCTTAAATTTTCGTACAGCATTACCTTTTTGCCTTTTTCATTTCTAAGTTTAAAACAAATATATTTGTTGGCATCCTTCCTTTATTTCCCTTCCTTTATATAAATTCAAATTTAATTTCCTGAACCTTTCTTTTTCCTCTTTCTTTAAGTTTATAATTTTTCCTTCCTTTTTTATGTTTTTTTTCCTTCCTACTATTATTCTCTTAATTAATAGCACAGGTCTTTCATTGACAGAAATGGTGTCTTCTAAATGATAGCCAAGAAAGTGTTAGTTAAGTCTGGATAAAATTAGGTGTTGTTGTACATTAATTCTAAATACTTTGATAACAACATCTGTCCATAGCTCCAAATGTAAATGATAAGTGAAAAAAAAAATAAAATGTCCGGTATATATTTGGTCAAATGTAGATGATGTACAAAATTGAAGCCAATTCTGAGGAATAAAAATACTTGCACCATAATGGGTTAAAGTTAGTGGTATAGTTTGTTTACTTTACCTAGCCCCCTCCCCAAGCTATGCATAGATTCAGACCTCCCAGCCTTTACAAGGTCAATAAAAATCAACCTCTTAAAAGGATGAAAGGACTTTTTTCAACCTTAAGTTGTTATTTCTATTTGTTAATTTATTATTGTTCCAGTTTCTTAAATAATGGGAGAGATGAAATAGTACATTTTAGGTAGAAGGTGAAAAGGCTGGCAGGGGGGGGGGTTTCAGTTAGACTAATTAAATTAATCTAACATCAATCTCCCTTAATTCAGATAGTCCTGATTATTAAAGAATTTTTACTTGCTATTTTCTTTTATTACCTGACATCTAAATAAGAATTGTAAAGAAGAAATATTCCAGTTGAAGTTTGCAGCTTCTGGTAAGTTGTATTCATGAATTGATGCTCATCAATTTTGCTAGGTTCTCTGAAAAACAAAGAATGCAGATGGGATGACATTAATTAAATATGCATTGTAAATTGTAAGTTCAAGTTTGTCTGCTATTAGACAGGACAGTTACACTTCATAAAATTACACATTCTAGAATTACAGTTCTTATGAATCATTTTGTGTCAGTTACATTTCCATAAGGTTATATTACCTTTAAGTACACCTCTATATTTACACTTCATAAAATTACATTATTTCCAAATTCTAAATTGATTTGACATTTATGAAACTGCATTGCTTGGCTCCCTAAGTTAGTTCTAGCTGCCCTTGGCTCAGAAATAGTCTTAACAAAACAAAACACAACACTTTATGAAATATATAACTTTATTGCTCTAGTATCTCGTCTTCACCATACCAGAGGGTTACATTTGAAATTATAGATTGCCATTTAGCTATGGTATTAACTACTGCCATGCAGTACTTTGGATATACAGGTTCGCGTCAAGTATATTTGTACTCTGTACAAATTTATGGGGGTTTGTTTACAAATATTGCAGACAAACAAGTTAAAAGTTGAATTTCAAAGGATTAGAATGAAGATTACTTGCTGCTTGCTACTGATGTGTGAGTGATAATAATGACAATCAGACTCTTCTTACACACAAAGAACACATTAAAGTTGGACGACCTTCTAAACTACTAAATCTCTGAGGATGATGGCCAATTCTATATGTGTCAACAATCAACATGTGGCCAGTGAAAATCTTGGTATGATTATCATTTTATTTTATTTTATTAGATTAACTTAGTTGGTATCGTCCTAGTATACATGTTTTGGACCCCCCCCTCTCCTATAAATTTTGTATATGACTACTTATTTTTTAGCTAAATTAGTATTATTTATTTTTTTTAAATTTTAGGGTTAGGTTAGGTTAAGACAATTTCTGGGCCAAGCGCAGACTAGGGGGCAAACTGCAGTGGCTAGGACAGGCTAGGGAGCCAAGCGCCACAGATAGGACAGGCTAGGGGCCGGCACTTTGGCCACATAATCAATTCCCTGTGTTCCATCAGAGATCCATGTACAAAATTGATGGGAGGGGTCCAAAAATTGTTCTCTTAAAATTACATGCTTTCTCAGGAGTATAATTAATAAATTAGTATTAAAATTGAATTTGATAATTCAAAATGATGATGATTAAACAATGATGCATTAGATGCCTGTAGATACATTAGATGCCAACATGGTATCTCATATGCTCACTGCACTGGAATTTCTCAGAAGTAAATTTGTAACCTTATAAATAAATTTTTATTTGTTTATTAGAAGACAGTGAAAGCCAATAAAAATACAGAATTGAGACAGCAGAAAACTAAACTTCACATAAACCTTACAAGCTCTAGTATATAACAGTAATAGGAATAGGTAAATTACTATTCCTATCACTATTATAGACCTTCTCTACTGATGTCTCCTAGTTGTTCTCTGTCTCAAGTGGTTCTATTCATAGAACCATCTGGAGAAGTTTATCTGGCTGGTAGTTGAGCTGGCCGAACTTTAGTTGAATTTGGTAATTTGGCCATGCTGTGGTACTAGATACAGGTCTGTTAACTCTTGTGTATCTTTGTAGTTGATGTGTAGCTCCCAGACTTATTTGGTTGCTTGATATCTCCATTAGCCTGTACAATAGGACTAGTTTGAGAATATAGAGTTGTAGGTCTCGGACAGATTGCTTGCTTGATATCTTCGGTAGCCTGTACAGTGTGTTTGCCCAATCACTTTTCGCCCAATTGGGTTTCACCCAATAATGTTTCACCCCAAGGTTTCACCCAATAACATTTCACCCAATATAACGTTTCACCCAATTCATGTTTCAGCCATTACTATATTTAACCCAAATTACATTTCACCAAACTCACGTTTTGCCCAAACTACACTTACTTCAGAGTTTTAGAATGAGTAACAAAAGCTTTAAATATACTCCTTATTATAAAGCCTGGCTAGTTGTATCCATTCCAACCCTGTTAGAAAGATTTTAATTCTTTAGATTGCATCTGGTTCTATGTGTAAGCATCAAGTGAGCTTCAGCACAGTTAGGTTCTTTTGCATCACTCTCAAGTTTCTTGAGGCTGAGCAGAACATGTCAGCACACACTACTTGGAAAAAAAAGAGAATAATAGAAAACGGAGAAAGGGGCCGGATTCTCTTTGCTTGACTTCCCCCTCCCTCTTCCCAAAAACAAGGGAAATGGAAACATAGAAAGTAGAACCTTATTGGTTGTGCACCATGCACTATGATACCATTTTATACTCTGCCAGCTGCAAGGAAAGATTGTTGTAGACAAGGCAGTATTCTAAAGTACTGTCTAAGATGAACTTACAAGAATAAAAAAATCTTTTGTCAAAAATATCCTTTCCTTGCCTAACCTTACTTATCCCATTTCTCATAATAATAGAGGATTTTTAATCAGAATTTTCAAACTCCGCTTAGCTGTGACTTTAATTTTTTCCACCTGTAAGAATGTCTAAAATAAATATGAAAAATAGCTGGATGATAGAGCTGCATCATCAACCCACAATATAATTTGTCAGAGAAACTTACCTCTGAATTGAACACAAACAGTAATATGCATAATATTGGGGAGAAAGAAAAGCAGAAATATTTGTCAAAATGTAATTTTTCCTTGTTTGCAAGGGATTAGAATTCATAGATTTAAATGAGAGGAACAGAACACAGATGTATGATCAGCTTCAAAGAAGATAAATCAGTCTAAGAAAAATCTCACTGGTCTTTAAAATTTTGTAAACAAAAGAAAATTCAAAAAAAAAATAAATGTTAAATAAACTGATGAGGAAGTTCAGTTTTGACTGGTAAAAATACAGTGTGAATTTACCTTTTCATGATTAGATTTTTTGTAATTTGCATTTCATCATTTCCAATTTGATTGAATATATCAAATATAGGAACACACAAAACTGGGATTAGACACATTAACACAACTTTTACTGAAAAAATGATTATATTTAAATATCTATTAATTAATTTTGGTTATTAAACATCTCTTACTTCTTTTTGAGGAATGAATTCTATTTATTTTTGTTCTAAAACAAACACCAAACATGATTTGTAATCTGAAATAAATTTATTTGTTAAAACATTTGTTAATAATTTTTATTGGAGTTGATTTAAAATTCAAATTAATGCAAAAGTATTAGTTGCTGTTCACATTATAAAATGAAATCAATTCACTATAACTCAATACTCAAAGTTATAATAAAAAGTCATAAGAAGACATACATTTACTTTGCTGAATGTACATACATTTTTTCCTGTAACTAAAGATGACTCATCAGGGGAGTGTACCTATAAAATGTACAATTCTCACACTACAGAATCTAAGTACTTCATTTGGAGAGGAAGTGACAGCAATTTTTAAAAAATGTCAAAATTGGCAATTTCCCAAAACCTGAACAGTTGGGAAATTTGAGAAATTTCTGGGTATCTGATAGTGGTTCTTTTCCTTCAGGACCCCTCTGAACAAACAAATACACATTAACAAGCTAAAACGGAAATATTTTATTGTCAGTATTATTAAAGATACTATAACCCTATCCCTGCTGGGTTCTAGAAAAACAGGATATGCTCGAGAGATGGGGTCAATCTAAATCCCATGTTTGATGTCCAAATATGACAAATGATACATCATTGGAAAGCTCTTGTGCTCTACTTTTAGAATATGAAAAAATGCAAAATTGCAAAAAATTGAATTTTTTTGCAAAATCCATTTATGAAGTAAAAATGTTTGCAAAAAAATGTCCAAAAATGATAAAATATACATTTTTGAAAAGCTCTTGACCATGACATTTTAGATCTGCAAAAATGTTTGCAAAATTTTAAATAACCTGATATGTTATTAAGAAAAAGTAAAAGTGTGCAAATTTCCTTTGATGAGTTTTTTGCAAAAACATTGCAAATCTGTTTTGCAAAATTTTGAAATCCGTTTTTCCTTTTATCATAGGCTTTCCAAAAAGCTAAAAGTTATCAAAATCTGACGACTGAAAGTGGGTCAAAACAAAGATTTTGTTTGTTACCGGAAAAAGTAATCATTCAGGCAGTGTGCCTGAGGACTTCGGTAGTTAGTTTAAAATACCGGTTTTAGGGAGGCCTTTGGGTAATTAGGAAAAGTAAAAAAATTCTATCAGCCTTAGACCAATACTTTTTGAGTTACATAAAAAAATTACCAAATTGCCCCCACCCCCCCCCCCCNATTCTATAGTTCAATTGCTTTTACAGTGAAACCCTTAATAACGAATACATCGAAAGAATTCATCAAATGTCGTATTCTTCACTTTCTGATAATGGAATGTGGCAGATATTTCATTTTTAATTAAATGATTATATGGAACTCTCCCGCATATTCATGGATATTTATTTATTTTCGCAAATATTGAAATTTACTTAATAAAGTATAAAACTCATTAAAAAATTGTCAAGACGACATTTGATAAATTGATGAATTTGTTATTAAGGGTTTCAGTGCTGTAGCTTAATACAATTAAATTCTAATTGAAGTTAGTGCTGATTCATGACGCAACAGACAATCAAAGTAATTAATGTAAGCAGGTTTCAGCTTGCTGTAATTTTTGATAATGTAATGTAAGGAGTATTCATTTTAATGTAACTAGAATATTTTTACAGCAGGTAAATTTCCATCAATCAGTTTAATCTTTGATATATTGTAATGAATCTAGGTCCAAGATTACTCTACTCAAAGTCTACTTATAGTCTCACTGACTCTATCTCTAGCCAAAACTCAAGGCTCTGTATACGTCCGTATAACACAACGTTTCATGTAGTACTAATTTATTTATATAAAGGTAAATCAAACTGACCGGATTGGCCGGTCAGGGTCACATTGAAAAAGATAAGATATATTAATAACATGGATAATAAAGATCGTACTAATCATTACAACAGAAAACTCTACAATATATCACTAGATATGCTTACCAGGGAATTCAGATAGGCCAAAATATATGCTTTCTAGCTCCTAGCTAAAATACTTTATTTCAAGAAAGCCATAGTGGGGAGCGGGTTAAATATGTCCCCCCCCTTTTAGTCAGAATAAGGTTAACATTCCTAGTTGTGACCCTCTGTTTTTAGAAAAGACAAAAAACGTTTTTAAAAACAGTTAGCAACCTTGAAAGAAAAAATGTATTCTGAAGATGTTTGTGAAGTGAACTTATACATTTGAAATTTTAGGCAAAAAATGCCTAAATGAAATGTGAAAAATAATACAAGAAAATGTAATAAATGTAGGCAATACTTTATTCTATCTCTTTACACAACTGATTGATACTCAATATCAAGCATAACAAATGTTTGAATTTATGAATAACAAATCTTAATTGATATCTGTAGATCATGCAATTCTTTAAACAGCAAATCAGGATCTAAAATTAAATACTAGGTTCATAAGATTTTTACTTTTCCATATGTTGTTCTCCTGGATAACTTTTCATGAATTTTATGTATGATACTCAGTTTAGGTCCCTCAAGAATAAGTTAATTCTTGTTTCATGTATAATTTACCTCTCAACAGTTTTTAAAAGGGAATTAAGTAAAAATATAGTTTAGAATTAGGGGTGGATGGGGGGGGTCACACAGTCAAACAGACCTGTGCTGCTCCAGAAAACTGCGAGTATCAACACTGGTTTTGTTTTTTCACATGAATTTAATGCTTCTTTGTATAAAAATGGAGGGTTTTCATTCGCGAGAATTTAAATGGTTATACATTTCATTACAATAGAAGGGGGGTGGGGGTGGGACAACTGCCATCCTGTGTATTTGTCTTCATTTGCTATCAGTGAAAAAGTGTAAAGCTGAAATCCTCTTCTAATTTCCCTGTTCAAAGTTTTCTTTTTTTTCTTGTTTATCTTGTTTTAAGCCCCCATCTCTACTAGGGTTTCCACCGGAATTCCGGGTTACGGTTTACGTACGGAAATGATCCGGAAATTTTTTCCATTTCCATTATCCCTAGAAACCAGAGGACGTCCTAAGGTCGTCATGAGGACGTCAATAATTACCAGTGCGACGTCCGGCGAAGTCATATTTTAGGTGTTGAGGACGTGTTGAGGACGTTTAAGGCAAGGATTCTTACGACCTCATGACCAAACTTACGAAGTTGAAATGACGTCACTTTGAATGTCCAAATGACCAAACTTTTGACGTCCAAATGACCAAACTTTTGACGTCCAAATGACCAAACTTTTGACGTCCAAATGACCAAAGTTTTGACGTCCAAATGATTACACAAATCTTATTACCCACTGAGCAGAGTCTAATTTATTCTATTAGTACTGCTACACTTTAACCTTCCCCCCCTGGTATTACATTCACACCTTAACTGTCCTTCTGTTGTTGTTACCCTTACCCCCACCCCACTCGGCACTACCTCTGCCCTCCCCTCGTATCACACCACCCACATGTTGTACACGTAGCAAAATAAACCAGTGCAAAATCTTGCATATTCCTATCGTGTTAAGCTCGAGTAATGCAATGCCAGAATTTTTAGATTTTAATTCTCGTAATTATCACGTGTACTATATTTGAGATTATTCTATAGTTCAATTCTCGTAGTTTTTTCTCATGTTCTGCTCGTAGAAAAGATACCAGTGCAAGCTCTCGCATATTCCAAACGTGTTAATCATGAGTAATGGAATGCCAGAATTATCTAGATTTTAATTCTTGTAAATATCACGCGTAAAATATTTGAGATATCACGGGAAGAATTTCATCTTTCATTTTTAACAGAGTTGCAAAATCACAACACTTGGTGTCTCTGCTCATCTTTTAGAAACTAAAAGTTTATTGAAGTAAAATGAAATATTTCAACTGACATAAATTTTTCAGATTATAACAAGCATGAGCATAGTATAGAAAAGTTTCACATTGAATTTTGTATTGTATTTCTCAACAACCCCTTTTTGGAATATCGATATTTTAGATATATACAGGAAGGCGAATTCATATAATCATGAACACATAAACATACTTGAACATTATTTAGACTTGAATTATCACTTTGTGATAAGAAAAGTTTAAAGTTTACATGTTCAAGATGTTTCTTGTAAAAGATATAAACTAAAATGTTTAGTTTCTAAACATTTTGTGATATTTATATACTTTTACACAGTATAGTTTTTAAATATTTATATATCAGAAAACAATTATGTACCCCCCCCCCCCCTTTCCCAGGGTTTTTAAAAATGTAATTAAAGTAGATGGGAGAAAAATGATTTTCCCATGTAAAAATCCCGTGTTCATCTCGTGAAATAAACTCAAGTTTTCGCCGTGTAAAAACTCGGTCCTAGACCCGTGATCAAATCGTCGACAATCACCTCAACAACACGTGAATTATCACGGGATAATGACGGGTCACTCGTGTGAAATAAACCAAATAATCTTGTGTTCTTCACGGGTTTTTGTTTGTTGGGCATGACCGCCCTCTATGAAACCCCCCCCCTAGAAAATGGCCTTAGAGAATAGGTATAGGGTTGCATGTTCATAGTACAATTTTTTAAGGCAAGATCAAAGAATAAAAAATATATCCGCTTACTTTAATAGTTTGGAGGGAGGGTTGAAAAAAATGGCTAAAAAAGGGTCCAAAATATGAAAAAGATATTTTTGCTTGTTTACAAATATTAAAGTGTGACATGTGTTTCTACATGCATTTTTCAAAGGCTTTTAAAAAATACAGTTTTTAGTTATGGGCTATTTTAGATGTTTTTTTACAGACCAGACTTTTTTTCCACCCTGTACCTAGGGATGTTAATGTTTTCATTTTTTTGTAAAACAATCGTTACGTTATGAAAACGACAATGAAGAACAAAAAGATTGTTTTAAAAACGTTTCTAAAAGTTTTTTTAAAATGGTCGTTTTCTAAGACCATCGTTTTGAAAAACAATTGTTATTAAAAAGAATCCTTTTATAAAAATCGTCATTTCGTTAGCAATCGTTAACAAGGACCCTTCGTTATGATGAACCTTCCTTAATGATTGTTAACCATGAAACTTTGTTAACGAAGAGAGGAAACCGATCTAAAGGGCATCTGAACTTATCATTGAGTAGTTTTTAAGAAAATAACAAGAAGTTTTAGCCTTTTAAGTTAGTTCATTTAAGACAACATTTAATAAAGTTGCATGTAATTTTTTTTCCCAAAACGACCGCTTTTATAAAGTTTGTTGTTTTGTTAACCATCGTTAATGACAACCCTTTGTTAACGATCATAAACATAATTGTCAATAAAATTTTTTAATCGTTCAATCGTTCATAAAAAAACAATCCTATAAAAAACGGTCACAAATTGTTTTTAAAAAACAATCGTTATTTGTTTTCTTAAAGTTCAAAACAACTGGGCTGTTTTCAAAAACCTAACCTAACGAAACAAAAACGATCGTTTAACAATCATTTTCAAAAACAATTAACAACCCTACCTGTACCCTACCCTATAAATAAAAAAATATATTTTTTAACAAAAATCCTTTAAATTACTATTCATTAAAAGTCACAAAATTTTACAGTGAGTGTCAAAAATGAGTGCTAGGACAAAAAAAATACAGGGGGGCGCCAAAACCCCCCCCCCCCTGCCTGTTTAGGGTTAAGTTAGAAAGAGGGAGAGTGGAAACACCCCTGCTTGCGCCCCCAATCATGATAGGGGTAAAAAAATGTACAAGTAAATATGTTAAATTGTTGCATGTAAATTTCAACATGAAACTTCAGTAATCATATACATTTTGATTCAAACTATTCAAACTATTTCAAGTGTTTCTTAAAATGCCAGATCTACAGATTTGACTTAATGTCTGATATAGTTATCTAAAGGTAAGATCAAGAGGTTCAGCCCCCCTGGATTAGTGAAATCTATAGTTTCCAGGGGGTTTTCAGGCCCCACTGGTTTCTGAGCCCCCCCCCTTTTGAAAAAAGTTGAACATCTGGGACTAATTCCTATCTATAAAAATAAATAATCACCATAAACTTTTTATTTTTCATACACCTTTAAAAGCTGATGATGTGGCGCTTTACTATTTGTTAAATTAGTTTGTAAAGATTTAAGGATTAGAATATGAAGGTTGTTTTTATCAAACGNTCCTTTACTATTTGTTAACTTAGTTTACCAAGATTTATGAATTAGAATATGAAGGTTGTAATGACTAATGAATGTTTAGTTCCTTTACCAAGCATTTGCATTTATAAAACTTTTTTTATTAGCAATTAGACATCACATTATATTATAATAACCTAGATAAAGTTATTGTCACTAACTTTATCTAAAATTCTTGTAGAATTTAGTATGAGAGCTTGCAACCGAGATCACTGTAATATGGTCATGGGGGTTGGTTGGGTTAAAGTTTTAAATTAAAGAAAAGCCAAAAAATTTAAACTTAAAAGATGGGCAAATTAGTGAATACAATGTTTTTTGAAAGATATTCCTTAAACCAACAAATGTTTTATGCATTCAAAATATGAAACAATTATATGTTGAGTATACTAGATACAGTTAGACACAAAACTCTAGAATAGGAAGGCAACATTAAGCAATATTTTGTGTATTTTATGTAATATATAAAAAATAGTTTTGCCAGTAGCCTTAAAATCAACTGATTAAGTAAAATTGGTTTGTGTACACTGCACAATTAATGTATTTTATGTTTATTTAAATACTTAAAATTATAACTTGAGTCTAAAAGTCGTCTTCCTATTTTTTTTTTAGTTTTTTGAGTCTCACTGGATAAAATTTATTTAGAATTAAGAAACATGAGACAAAATGTACTTATAAAGCGTTTAACAACTGTTTTTACAACATTTTCCGTGTTTATACTCATTACTTTTAGGAAAGCACAAATTTTACTAATTTAATTTAACAAATAACATTTTATCAATAATATCAATGTCATCTTAAACATGACAATTTTTGCCTTAATACATTGCTTTAAAAGCTAAATTGAAGATTAATTTTTTTAGTCATTCATTTTTTTGAAAGTTAGGGGACAATTATTTGTTAAAATTTTTTTTTTTACTTTTTTAAAAGCTTATTTATTTTTTGTAAAAGAGATAAAGAAAAGTCTCAACAGCAGACTTTTCTCTTTTATAACAAAGAAATAAAATTTTGTTTCTCTTTTTTTTCTTTTTTTTTCTAGCCTTTTTGAAGGTTCTCCCGATTTTTTAAAAACCCTTACTCTTCTTCTTATTAGTTGTTTGGTTGAATGTGTTTATTTTTGGAGCTTAATCTTCTTGTTATTAACTTAATTTTCCCGCCTCCAAGACCAACTCTTCATTTGTAAAATTCAGTATAAAATTAGTGTTGAACAGAACAAACCATACTGAAATTGGAGAGATGCTACTTTTCAAGGATACAAAGGAAATTTGCAAGCCTGTAAACAAAGTAGGGTTCTTGAAAATACATAAGGTAAGCTAGAGAAGGAGTTAGTAGTGTGTCCAATTCACAACATCACCTCTTAAATGTTTAATGAATCAAGGATGTGTGACCTATTCTTATTTGTGTTTCATTATGTTCATGATAAATGTCACTTCAACTGCAAAATTCCTGAACAATCTATTTCTTATTCATATGGTAAAAATGTAAATAAATTTACAAAGTAATAAACAACCATGATGATCAAAATTTCTATGAGTAAAAATAATTTTGAATTTAAGATTCTAATAATCAGTTTTTTATTTGTTAGTGTGCGAGTAGCTCTGTACAGAATATCATATTAAGATATGCTTTGAAGAATGATCTGAATGTAGTATTGCCCTCAGGTTAGGAAGAGATGGGTATCTTTTTCATGAAAAAAATATCCGTGCACAATATTTTCGGTTAGAAAAAACAACGATGAACAAACGATAGTTATTTTCAAAAACCAACAAAAAAAATCAACAAAAAGGAAATTTAGAATCATTCAAACAAGTTCAAACAATAGTTTTTTACTGAACAATCAAATTTTCCAAAAATTGTTGTCAAAAACTTTCGTTATTACTGAACAAACAATTATTTTAAAAGTAATAGGTTTTTGACTGAACAATTCTTTTCCACAAATGTTTGAAAAAAATGTAATTTTTTTAGATTAAAAAATGATTTCATAGAAGAAACAATATTACTGAACTAAATATTTTACTGTACAAGCGATTTAACTGACCATTCTTTCACTGCGAAATAAACAAAATAGATGGAAGATGAACGATAACTTTGAGAAAGAATAGTGACCAAAAGAATGAAAAAAAACTGAACGCACCCATCTCTACCCCCAGCTGGAAACTACCTGGGTTTGTCAACACCATTTTCTAGGTAATAAAAATTGTGTTACAAGAGAGGTGTTCAAAGTTATCTAGAATAAAGGTATCAAAAATATTTTTAAGTAAGATTTCTATCTGATAAAATTCAGCTTAAGAATAAAATTCAGAATACATTTTTTTTTCAAAATTTACATTAGTAGAAGACAGTTATTTTTCAAAGTCTAAAACAAAGGAACTGAATTTTTGGAAAAAAGTTTATAATCACTTTATTTTTCTGAAGTTCTAAAATGTATATCACAAAATCTGATTTTCTTTAAATTTGCTTTTATCATACTTTCTGCAAAAATTGGATCCAAACCGGCTTATCTATATGATTTTTAAACCGTGTTTTGAATATAATACAAATTCAGTATGATGCAATTAATGATGCCCATTGTGATATTGTGGATTAAAGTTTTTGGTGAAAATAGTTCAAAATAAGAGTTTGAAATGAAATAACAACTTTTTGTCATATATTGTTGTTTTATTTCAATACTTTATTTCAAACAGCGGACAAAACTCGGAAAATATATACTACTAAAACTTAATTAATTTGTTCTTTACTAATTTAGTATAGATTACAAGTAAACAGAGGATCTTTTATTTGTCAGCTTCTCTATGTTTCTATGTTATAGGTAGAGATCTAAAATTGAAACTGAAAGCCGTTTTTAGTGTACTGATATACGCGACAATGACTGTATTTAGTCAAATTACTAAAACTAAATTAAATTGTTGTACACTGTACAGGGCTATGATAAAAGGCACAGCTTGGGAGAAAGCCGGACTAGAATATCATATGTTTTGCCTTCACACTGTCTGGAACCAGGGAATCCTTTATGAAAATAGTGATATCTGTTTGTCTGTCTGTTTGTTTGGTTCTCCAATCATAACTCAGAAACCCATCGACAAATAAGCCTCAAATTTTGATTGGGCAAAACCACATTAATGTTCTTAGCTTGGTTTTAATATTATAAGCTAAGTAAGTTGACTTTCAGAGAAAGTTTAGTTTCCAGGCAATGCAGGGTTACCAACCCAGCAAGAAAATCCACTCTGCTTTCCACTTGTACCTTTCAAGAGGAGGACTACTTTTATCCATCGAAAATAGAGAAACCTCCTCAAAAAAACCAAAAAAGGAATTCCTGAGGATTTTTTAGGAGAGCTCCGCATTTACTCCATTCCTCCTAACTTTCTCATCTTACGGAGTCTACTAAAAGAGGAACTTCTTGGAAATTTCTATTGAGAAGAGCTCTGAAGTTACTCCTTTTTTCTACCAAAAAAGGATGGTTTTCCTCATATTACTTTTGTGGAGAATTCTCCAAAAGAGAAGCTTGGTTGGAATTCCTTTTAAGGAGAGCTAACCACATGATATGGCTGGGAGACAGGACCAGCAAGGTTTAGACAGTTCCAAATATTAATACAAGAGGTCTCTAGAGTTAAAAGTAAAATTGAACTATATAAAATAAAACTGCTCTTGTTTTAAACAAAATTATATTTCCTGGAATTAGATATTTGTGTTTGATCATGTGTAATTCACTAACAATACTGTTATATTTGTAATATTCCCATACTTAAAGTTATAATAAAAAGATAGCAGTATCCAGTAGATCACAAAAGTGTTTTATATGTTTATACTTGATAAATACATTTCAATTAAATACATTCACTTGATATTGTAAATGTTAATTATAACTACACATTTTGAAAGGATTACCCAACATCTATTTCAATTGACTCCAATGGGGTTTATCATATTGCTCCAAAAAGGTTTAGCTTTCCTGAAGGTGGAAGAGTGGATGATATCAGATTCAAGCCTTACTCATGATTTTATCTGCAATGAATACTATTTAGTGCATGATCAAATAAGAAATCATACGGTATATCAATCTTGTCTCCTGCTCCAGGCTTTACAATGCATGTGCATTTTAGTGCGCCTGGCTGTTAGCTCATTATGACCAGGTTGAAAGGCCCTATTCCTGGCAATTTAGTATTTCAAAACCAAATGCAACACTAGGAGAATTTTAATTATTTTGATTCTCAGATGTACCAAAAGTGATCTAAAAGATGTGTTGTAATAGTGCACCTCAATCCCTTTAAAAGAGGTGCACCTCAAATTACTCAATCGCATCACTTTAGTTCGCTGCAAAACCTCTGTTTTGTCCTACTTTTTTGGTATTTTTTCTTGCTGGGAAGCTGCATAGCGTTCTGTAGTGTTTCCTTATCATGAATTTCAAAAAAATCCTACATTCTACAATCATTGCCACAGTTTTAATATCTCAACTGTTTTGTACCCCCCCCCTGGATTATTTCAACTTCACACAACCTATTCTATATATAAATTTGGCTTGTCTGTCTGTCTGTTTGTTTGTTTGTATCCAATAAACGTCAAAACGGCTGAACCGATCGGGCCCAAATTTTTTGTGGGACATCTAGGGACCCCAGGGAAGGTTTATGAAAAATCAAAATTTTAAATATTTGTCTCCATCAAAATTCAATCATAATTAAATTTTTAAAAATTTTGAAAATCCGCGAATTATTTTTGTTTTGTTTTACGATGTACACAAAGAGAACATGTTCACAACTAATTTAGAAGATGGGCGCGAAGCGCCCTCTAAGGCTAGTGGTAATAAATGTAATAAATCTAGGTCCCAAGATTACTCTGCTCTGAGTCTAATTCTAGTCTCACTGACTCTATCTCTAGCCAAAACTCTAGGCTCTAAATCTCTAGCCAAAACTCAAGGCTCTATACACGTCTGTATAACTCAACGTTTCATATACTACTAATTTATTTATACAGGTAAATAGAACTGACTGGAATGGCTGGTCAGAGTCAACATTAATATAGATAAGATATATAACTAAACATAGATAATAAAGATCGTACTAATCATTACAACAGATAATGCTACATATAGAAGCCAAACCCAGGTTTAAGGCTTCATATTCTGAACCAGCAATGGCAGCTTGGATCACATTATTGACAGAGTCAAGCCCTTAGACTCGACTTATGAAGTCAGGCTAAATCAAAATTAATACTTACCTTGGTTGATTTTAGGAGAGAATAATTCTCAATTTTGAGTCTTATTTTAATTAAATCCAGAAATCTGTCAATTCCAACCATGAAAATCCACCACAAAACTGGTTTAATAAATCCAACTCTGTGAACAACTTTGGCAAGTTAACACCCAAAGGTCAAGTTTAAATTAGTCTCAATGAATAAATTGAATAAATGATTTGATTTGAGGACGAGGTTGAGAGAACTCTAGGGGGAAGAGCAGGAGTTAAATATTTAACTATGATCAGGGACCTTGGCGCAAGAAAAAAAAGAGTGGGGGAGCAATGAACCTCCACAATCCTGTTTCTCAGCACTGAGTAGGGATGTGGATCGTTTTTTTGAAATGATTGTTTTCCATTTTGAGTGTCCATTAAATGGACAAAAAGTTTTTCTCTAAATGATCACTTTGAAATTTTTTAAACTGTTGGTAATAAATTGAATATATACTCTAGAGAACATCTATACTTGTGTGACCTCTGGAAGATTTATTTGCTATTGGTCACCATTAAACCGTTCTGAATCTACCTCTTAAGTTGCAATACTATATGATGAAATATCCAGAACTGTAAAATATACAGGAATATGAGAACATTGATAACACATATTTTTCTTATTACAACATGCATGGTAGAATATTATTTTCAATTTTGCTATAAAAATTTTGCAAATAAATTGAGTCCTATCCACAAAATCAAAATTTCATATCCTTATATGTTTTCAACCTGATGCAAAGTGGCAAACCTTTGATATTTTAAACTTAGAAAAAGAAAAATAATATTGTTATGGAAAAAGATTGTATTTCGTTTTAAAAAAGAAATTGACAAAAATATTCTTTTTCCTTTTGAATCAGAAAACTTTTTTTTTCTAAAGGACCGTTTTAAATTTTTGAAATGACAGCTTTGTAAAACGATCAAATTGAAATTCTGAAAAACAATCATTTGATTCTGAAAATACCCGAAAGTGCCCATCCCTAGTTCTGAGTCACCATTAAAATCATCAGAAAATATGGCCCTTTCTTCACAAATTTCTAATTGCGCTGATGATCAAGGGATCCTGTTACTACATTTGAATCAGCCTGGGGGTATGCACAAATGTCAGGCTTCTATAAGATGGATTTAGAAACATTTGCTCTGTCACCAAAAACAGGATTGCTATCAAAGGTAAGAAGAAAAACTAATTTGAATGCTTTCTTGACAGTTGAAGACATTTCTCTGGTCCATTGGGCTGGGAATGTTCCTATTTTTTTTTCATTAAACTAGAACGAGGGTCAGAATTAGGGTTTCCACCATAATTCTGGGTTATGTTTTAAGTAAGGAAATGATCTAGAAATTTTTTTATTTCCATTATGGAAAAGGTTCAGGAAATCTGTACTTCAAGAATGATTTCTGAAACAATTTTTTTTCAGAAACAGAAAATTTCCGTAACGTTGCTCTGGGCAGCGCCGAGGGGGATGGGTAGAGTGGTGCATAGTGGGGGAAGGGTAGGATTAGCAACGAAAGCAGAATGGNTACAGTCATGGTGTAAATGTAATACCAGGGGGGAGGGTTAAAGGGTAGCAGTTCAAATAGAATAAATTAGGCTCTATTCAGTGGTAAAATGTAGGATAAATAAATGACTAGTTTGGTCATTTGGAAGTCAAAAGTTTGGAAATTTGGACGTCCAAAGTGACGTCATTTTGACTTCGAAAATTAGGTTGTGGGGAAGGAAGAAACCTTGCGTTAAACATCCTCAACATGTTCTTAACACCTAAAATACGACATCGCCAGACATCACACTGGTAATTATTGACGTCCTCATGATGACCTTAGGACGTCCTCTGGTTTGCTAGGGTAATATATGTCAACTAATAAATTTTAACATTTAATGTTTTAACATTGCTTTCTATGTCTCACATAGACTTAAAATGGTTAAAACTAAAGGGTGAGGTAGGTGTCCCCACGCATTACACTGCTGAGTGGAAACTTATGGGTTAACATATACAGTCTACATCTCATGGAGATCAAGATATTTTGAGTTTACTACACAAATTCATAATCCAATCTGGCTTCCAGGTTTTCCGATTTACGGAAAAGAACCTGGACATTTTCCAGTTTATAATACGGAACCTGGAATTTTTCCAGTTTAAAGAATGAAACCCAGAAATTTTTCTGTTTTACGAAATAAAATCTGAATTTTTCCGGAACATTCTGGAATTCTGGAACATGGTTCCAGAAATTTTTGGTTTCCATTCCGTAAACCGGAAAAATTCCAGGTTAGGTAACATAAACAAAAAATGTTGGTTTCCATTTCATCCAGTAATTTTCTAGAACTCCACAAATTTCCGGATCATTCCATTTCCAAAATGGAAATTTGGGAAATGGAATTATCTGGAAATCCTAGTCAGAATGAGAGTCAGACTGTTGAAATAATGCCCATAAAGGCCCCACTGTATTCCTCATCATAAGTCTATCAGAGCTAATCATTTAATTAATCCGAAAATATAGTGAAACTTTAACAGGGTAAAAAACCAAAAATAACATGTATCACACTCCCCTATCTCAACTATTAAAGCAAAATCATAAACTCTATTTTAGACCAAAATATAGATTTAGTGTGTTCTCCTGATTTAACGTTAGTAATGCAAGACTATTTCTTTGAAAAATTAACATCTGTTTTTTTTTTTTTTTTAACACTGGCATCATTCTTGAAAATCCCGTTTGCTATTGTGAAAAAACAATTGTTCCCTGGGAACAAAAACAACATTTTGAAATTTATTTGGCCTGTTTAAAAAATTGGTCAGTGTAAACATTTTTCAAAAATCATAGATTGCTGTGGGAGGTTGAGTTTTTAATTTGTCGATATTGCGTCTCAAACCACTGAATATTACCCATTTTTTTATTTCTAAGATTTTCTGATTTAGTGCCATGATATTAGTTTTTGGGAGACTTTTTACTGAAAAATCTTGTTTTTTTTTTGCCTACAGTTTGTTTCATTCTTGATTTGTATGACCTTAACATTTTTGAATTCAGTGTTTCAAGATGGATTATTCGAAACCCATTTTGACATATTTTGAAAAAAAATATTTTCACTTGGACTGCTGAATAAATATTGAAATTTAATTAATAAGTCAAAAATATTTTCATCAAAGATCTGAACATTTTATCAAAAAAGTACCAAATACTGTGAGAGAAACTTGTTGCACTACTAGGGCTGAGCAAAGTTCTGTTAACTGAACAGTGTTTTCGGAAAATTAAGGAAAGTGTCTGCTAACAAATGGCAAAAATTGTTTTAAATCGTTAACAAAACGGATTTGCCAATTTTGAAAAAAAGGCAAAAAATAAAAACGAAACGTATTTTTTTTCAACCTAAAATTACATTTAACTTTTTAATAATAAAAATAAAATTTATATGTTTTGAAGGTTTTTAATGTTGTTTTATGTTTTTAAAATCTGGGTTCGCCTCAGAATAAGATAAATATAGTTGATTTAGATATCAGTCCTCAGAGAAGGATAAATAAACTGCTAGTGCCGTTCAAATTGTAGTAGATCAATAACGGCTAAGCCTTTAAGGATTTCTTACCCATTAACGAAATTTTTTTCAGTGCTTCATGTTAACAATTTATTTCATGGTAAACAAAATTATTTTGCCACTTTGCACAATTACAATTTTATTTAACATTAATATTGTAAAGGATCGTTAACAACTGCACCGTTAACAATTTCTTTAACCATTAGCAAAAAATTTTTCAAAGCTTCTCTACCTTAACAATTTCATAATATGTTAATATTGTAAAGGACGGTTAACAGTGGTGGAAAATTTTTCATTAATGCTGTAAATAAATTTTTTTTTTAATTTAAAAATTTAACAAGAGGTAATTTAAAAAAAGGGCAAATGCTGTGAAGGAACGGACTTGCACTTGCTAACTTTAAGATTAACAGCTACTTGAAATTTTAATTTTTTAACAGTCAAAACTAGCCATTAATGTAATGGCAAGAAAAGTTGAACATGCCCAGCCCTATTCACTACAGCATTTTCAGAACCTGGCAAAGATTTGTTATAATCTACTAATTTCATAATTTTTTATAGTCTATTAATTTCATAAACACTTCCTTGAAGGGCTTGTTCACCTATTTAGAAATACAATAATATTTTTTATTTTTTGATTTGATATCACAACTTAACCTATTTTATTTTCTAGGATGTTTTTAAGAAACAGAATGTTCAAAACTTTGTCTAGTTTTCACTCAGAAAATGATTCTGCGCAAAATTTCATACAAAAGAACAGTTTGGCACAAACCCAAATTTTCCAGTATTTCTATCGTTGTAACCTGATGATGTAAAGTTTTGATATTTAAAAGTTAGACTGTTTAATATTATATTAGAAATATCAATGGTTTACAACATTATTTCAAACAGTAGGATATTAAGTGACTATAAATCATGTGAACAATCTTGAACAATATCTTTAAATCAAAAAATTTTCAGAATCCCTTTAAACCATTTGGGCAGAACCAACTGCTTCATGATTTTGGTTTACATCCAGACAACTTCAACAATAGTTCTGCTGTTCTAGAGAAAATATTAGAAATAGAAGCTAATTTTAATCTTGTGCTCCTTGCAGAAAGGTAACCTGTTTTCTTTAAAGCTACTTAGTACATTTTTCACAATTTTTGAAAATAACTTTGTAACCCTAATTTCTACTCTACCTTTCTATCTTTTAACAGTGTTTCTTTATATCAAAAAAGATAGTTGAAATCATTTCAATGTTTTTCTCAAAAAATGTTAGCCAAATGGGTCCAGCTGTTTGGCCGGATATAGGGAATCTTTTAGTCCTTTAGGATTGAAGATAAATGATCATAATATTTATAAGGTTTAACAAATCTAGGTTAATTTATCTTAAAGTTTATTTTTTCAGGTTTCAAGAATCAATGATATTAATGAAAAATGAACTACAAGTGAATGTAATTAGAATTTAGCGTACAGGCCGTAAATTGATATCAAGCAGAATTATCGTTGATATATTACAACGGATCTTCATGGCTTGGTGCGTGAACTGAATACTGTTGATTGTAAGCGGGTTTTTCTAACAGTGTAGTCTAAAAGAACCAGAATAATTTTGCTTCTTTACTCTAAGAAATACTGTTGACCATTCTATAATTTGTGTCTGAGCCTTTTCCCAATTTGTAAAATGTATTTTTTTTAAATTCCACATTTTAAGGCAACAGAGAATGTAATTTCATTTTTCTCTTGCAGTTTTACTTTTAAAAAAGATTGTTCCATGTTCTGATTTCAGGATTACATTTGATACCACAATAGGAAGAGAAAATATTAATATTCTTTGTGTTAATTTAAAAAATAAGGGTTTATTTAATGTTATTCTATAGAAATTAGGACTGGGTAACGTTCTGTCAACCAACTGTAAGTTCAAAATGTGTTTAAAAATAACGACGATTTTTTATATTTTTTGATGTATTTTCATGTTTTTATGGGTTTTCGTGTTTATGAATTTCTAAAATATTTTAAGTTAATGCTGTTCATAAAATTGAGATTGTTAACAAACTGAAACTTTGAGAAAGAACAAAAATACCGTTATCAAATGGAATGTTCTTATCAAAAGTAAGAACAGCTACCTAAAATTTTAAACTAATAGTTAACGAACGGCTTGAAAAAGTCTGAAGGTGCCTAGCCCTGATGGAAATATCTGCCTGTATGCGCATTGATACTGTTTTCTTGTTTCCAGTGATATGCTAAATATGAAGCTAAATGCAAGACAAGAAAAAAAGAAAACAAGCTTGAGTGAACCAGCAAGAAAAGCATTAGGAAACAAAACTAATGATTTTAGATGCCTTGTCTTTAGATTTTTTCGATACAATTAATGTCCAATGGGCAATAGAGATAAATAAAGTCTATACTCCCCCCCCCCTCCTCACCAGACGCCACCCCTTACCAATCCATTACCTGCCTTGGCTTTCTGGAACTCCCTCCCCTCGGCTTCTAATCATCTTCTAGTCATGTTGCTATATATAAATTTTAATGAATATTCCGCCGCAGCGCAGAGGTGAGTGAGTCGGCTTTTCTTTTACAGGGATTCTAGGGACAGAGATACTAGCGCCTCTTGTGTTATTAAATATTTAAAAAATCTACATCAACTTGATTCCTCTTGTACTCAAGTACATGTACCTAGTATACTCTATTCTTTTTAAGTCTATTGTTTGGGCTCACAAGCAGGGCTGGGCTCGTTCCTGGGGAACAATCATTCTTTCAGGAAAACGAACAGAACTATCAAGAATGATCCCATATCGTTCCAAAAAAAGATCGGAACAAATATAACCCATTCTAAAGATAATAGAACAAATAGTAAAAGAACAAAATGGAACCACACGGGAATTGCTTGAAAAGAACATTTAAAATCAGGAACGGGTTCTTATTATCCAGAATAAGTTCTATGTCAGGAAAGCATTTTAAATCAGGAATGTGTTTGAAATCATCTAGAAATAATTAAGATATTTTTTATTAAAGCACCTGACCCCCACCCCTTCCCCGGCCTACCTCTTCAGTAAGGGAGGGGAGACTTAGGTTGAAAGAAATTGTTCTTTATAATGTATTTATATACCTGTTTAATTTCATTAAAATATTGATTATAAAAATTAATTCTTTCATAAAAATCTACAAATTGTACATCCCCCTTTATTAAGATAAACTGGGTTCTCAGCAATTACGCGCCATATCCTATGATTTGCATGTTTGAGTTTAATGAAAATTAGTTTAACTTAAATTCTGTATGTCACACATTTTAAGGGTTTTAGGGTTTAAGGACCCCTTCCCCTCCCCCAGCTTCACAAAAAATAGACATTGCAATTATCTAAGCTCATCCTTCTAACACTAAATTTGAAACACATAATTTAAAGTGTATTTTCGGCCGTGTGGAACTTTTTATTATAAAATCGTCATTTTTTAACCCTAAACAGGCTGTAGTTTTTTTGTCATAGCACTCTCACTTTTGACACTATCACCTTGAAATTTTGTGACTTTTAATGAATAGTAATTTAAAGGATTTTTTATTAATAAAATATTTTTTTTAATAAGTGGGGTAGGGTACAGGCCTGAAAAAAAGTCTGATCTGTAAAAAAAAAAATCTAAAATAGCCCATAACTTTTTTGTGACTAAGGCTACAGGTCCAAAAACTATATATTTGAAAAGCCCTTGAAAAATTCATGTAGAAACATGTCTCACACTTTGATATTTGTTTATTACAAAAAAATATTTTTTTCATTTTCTTGACCCTTTTTTAGGCATTTTATCAATCCTTCCTAGGAACCGAACTATTAAAGTTATCAGTTTGATTTTTTTTCTTTGAGCTGGCTTGAAAAATACGGCTATGAACATGCATTTCAACCCTGTACCCATTCTCTAAGGTCTTTTTCTAAGGTGGGCGCCAAATGCCACCCCCAAGCTATCCATAGATTCAGGCCCCCCCAGCTTTTATACTTTATACTTTATACTTTATACTCTTTTATAAAAAACTTTTGTCTTGGAAACTTCAAAAGTACCCCCATACCTTCCATCCCCCCCCTCATATCTCCTTGACAAAGATGGAAGGGGAGGATGGGACCATTATTCACTTAAGAACACCAAGAACGGAACAAAACGGGATGACCTTTCTTAGACTAAAAACAGAAAGAAAGGGAACGAGAATGGAACAATTGGAAAAAAAAGGAACAAGAATGGAATGATCTAAAGCCCTCATTCTAGAACTGAACGGAACAATTTAAAGAAAGTTAGAATGTGCCCAAGCCTAAGCCACACATTTCAGTCCTTAATGAACAATGCTAATTTGTTTTTCATTCATGTCAACAGGTTTCAGCACAAAAGCAAATTTTAGCCTTGATGCCATAATAAAGGAACCAGAAATTCTTTTGAAAGTTTTGGGATTTTTTTTTTCTCTTACTGGAAGGGTTCCAGCTGTTTTAGGTTGTAATCTTTTTGCAGGCAATAAAGTTTTGTGATTTCAGAGAAATATTTGAGTTCAGATTATCTTGTGTATAATCATTTTAAGAAGATATTTGAGAGAAAACTAGAACAGTTTGGAAAACAAAAGATGGAAAAAGAACTAAATATGCTGGAGGAAGAAAATGCAAAGATAAGGGTAAGTGCATCAAATAGTAAATTTTTTTAAAATATTTAAAACATTGTTTTAGGAGATTTGTTCACTGCAAGAAACTGACAATGAAAATGTAGTTGGAGAAAACAAACTGTGGGGGCTAGGAGTTGTAGGATATAAGGAATTCAAAATTAAGCTGTATAATTTTATTTCAAATTTCCTATTCTAAAATGTTTTTTTTTTCAAAGGAAGTCAAACTCATAACGCATTTTGGACAAGGTTTTAGATTTACTTCACAATACATTTTTCTTTGAATGATCTCATCGTATCTAAAAATATTCTATACCATTTTTACAGAGAAAGTGGAAAAATTTTATTTTGAAAATTAAAAAAAAAATATTTGAATATTAAAGGTTGATGCTAGTAAGAATCCTGTGTGTCGCTTCATTGCAATGTCTGAACTTAATTTCCTCAATCTAATGAGAGAACAGCTTAGAGAAAAATCCAACAAATCAAGCAGTAGTGTTTAATTCAATCCAATTCCAGTGTAATAAACTATGTAAATAATCTTACAGTCCACTTTATAACACATGTAAATCCATATAAATCCAGCAATTTGACTTGGTAGTAAAAATCAACTTTTCTTTAGTTACCAGTGAAATTGGTCCCCTATAATAAATAAATAATAAATTGTTCATGTACTGTATTTCCTTATATCAAATCCAAAAGGGTAGTGATCTTTCAAGTAAGTATATTGGTCAATAAAATCATTACTTCAGTAAAATTAAGAGATAAAATGAATAAAAGAAAATCAGATTTTTTCCATTCACTGGTTCACAAACTCTTTCTGTTTTGTTTGTTTACACACAATTCAAACAAAGTTTCTCAAATGATTTTTTTATCATTTTGTAAAGGATCAATTAATGATCAACAAAAAAGTCAACAATTGTTAACATTTTATCTTGAAAAAAAATATTGTTTTTTAATACATTTGTTCATCGTTCATTAATTTTTCTGAACAAAATATTTTGAAATATTTTACTCTTTAACAAAATTAAGGGGGAGTTTGAGTGCCAAAACTTTTCCTGAAAAATCCTTCTCTATCCTCTTCAGAATGAGAAGAAGACATGAGGATTTAATTTAGTCTGAAATGTGTATTGAGTATGTGTCAAGGGATGGGCATCAATTTTGAGAACAAACTAAAATTTTCAAAACAAACTAAATTTTTAATGAACAATGGTGTTGTTCAGAAAAAACGAACAATTTTGATAGTTCAGAGAAATAAAGAAAATATAAATTTTTAAAAAAGAATGAAAAAACATAAATGATTGATTTAAAACTAGGGTTTCCATTCGCAAACTTTTGTGCAATTTTTGGGGAACGAAACGCAAAATTTTTCTTTCTTTGCACATCAGTTTTGTGCAAAATAACAACAATTTGCGCAAAATTGCCCTATTCCGCTTTTGTGAAACTCAAGTTTTGCGGAATTCCGCAACTAGAGTTTTGCTCAATTCCGCAATTTTGTATTCAATTCTGGAAAAATCTTGTTTTGGAATGTCTTCCTATTGGTCACTTTTACATAATTGACCAATGACAGTTAAGAAGAGTTCAAATCTCACGGGTGCACACCTTATTCAGTTAAAATTATTTAACAGGATTAAAATATTGCCAAGTACCACACTCAAATTTCTATTTTATTAATTTTGGTCCCTTAATTTAAACTTTTTGTAACTGGAAGTAACCAATTGAGTGTAGTATAATCGTAATCATACTCCTATGCTAATATTTTTTTATGTATGGAATAAATCTTCAGTTGTTTAGTTCTAAGCTTAGAATATCAATTTTTGACAATTTGCCTAAAAAGTTACATTTTGCGTAAAACTTTCAGTTTTGCGCAAATTGCGCAAAAAATATATCACAAATGTTCGCAAAAAAAAATTTGCTTTAAAATAGTGCAAATTTTGCACAAAAGATTTAGCCATTTCGTGGAAACCCTATTTAAAACAATTGAAACATTTTTTCCTGATAAAACAAAAGTTTTTTTTTACTTGAAGAACGAATTATGGGAACAAACAAACTTTCGAAAAAACAAGAGTTTTTTACTGCTGTTTTTTTAAGCAACATTTTTTCAAAAACAACTGTTATTTTTTTAAGTACGAACAATTTTACTGAGTGAATGTGCAATACCCAGACAGAATGAGTTGGCCTAAAAGAGGGATTTAGACACCATATTTTTAAAAAATGTATTTATTTTCAAGGATAGGACAATTAAAAAAAAATTTATTGAAAGGACGAGGATTTCGATGTGGTTGGGACGAGAAAATGATGGGAATGTGGTTCCGGCTAGAGATTGATGTGGTTGGCCTTCCTCCCCTCGTCAGGGCCTACCTCATTAATTTAAAAAAAAAATTTTAAATTTGAATTACCTGATGAAAAATGGAGAAATTGATATGTAATATTATAATTTCATGAATTTTTTTTAGTTATCAGTTTTTTTTTACTTCAAAGGAGATTATCTTATTGATTTTAAGAGCTAACTACCTAAACTTATCAGGAATTACTCTTATTATGTAGTGAAAATTAAAAGGTTACCGCACTCATTGCACGCACCTTGTTAAAAAATTAGTGGACACCTTATTGTACATTTTGCAACTCAAATTGAGAGACTACAACAAATTTGTATGGCAGCAATACTTTTGCTGCTATTTAATTTTAGTACATATCTGTATTCGGAGCAAAACAATTTCCTTTCACAAAGGGGTGTATTTTTACATTATTGTAGTTGTCTTTTTAAATTTTAAAAAATTACTTCTCTGGATTAATATAGTGAAAAGAAATTGCATGTTCACTGCAGCATTCAAAACCTGAAACTGAAACTGTTAATTTTAAAAAATTCAAATAGTAAAAAAGGGTCTGATGACCAAATTTCAAGTAGCCCTTAAACATTTAACCTCTATAAAGATTATTTAGTTTTTCTGTTTTCAAAAGTTATGACCTGTCTTAATTTCCTTCATTGTTTCTACTGCCTAAATCCATAAGTCACAATTCAGATAATCATGCGCAATTGAAAATTATCAATTATAGATAGATTTACATGAATATTCTCAGACAACAGTTTAAAGGTTACTGTTCTAAAGTGGGTATGCTACTTTTCAAATGCAGATTTACTTAAAATCATGTCAACAGAGCCCTTAACCCTATTCCTGCTGGGGGAGGGGGGGGGGAGTGTCAGATCTATTGGTTTATTTAAC